GGGAAATGATCAACAACTAAAGAAGCTCTTGATTGTTAAACAATTTCTCCTTACAATACCAACCCTTGAATTAAACTTTAAGGTCCCGAGAATATGGGAAATGATCAACAACTAAAGAAGCTCTTGATTGTTAAACAATTTCTCCTTACAATACCGACCCTTGAATTAAACATTAAGGTCACAAGAATATGGGAAATGATCACCAACTAAAGAAGCTCTTGATTGTTAAACAAATTCTCCTTGTCAGCTGCTCAGGAAATGTATGAACAGTACTGAGAATATACATACTGATGTTAAGGTGGAAAGAGTTAAAAGAAGTTTTGTGTCAGTAAAGACTCATTCCACCAGCCTATACTGCCTGCTTATACCATTCAATAAATACACTGAATTTCACTGAATAATCAGTTCTTCAATTTTTTTTAACATCCTCACCATAACTAGTAAATGTTCTTCTTTGAGTCTCAAATGTAAAGTCACTCATGTGAGCTGGTTCAACATAACCTGAAACCAAATCAACAGATTTAATTCTGGGAACAATTGTGGAGTGCTGTCTACAAAAACCAAAATGTAAATAAAAGTAGCAGTTCCACTATCAACACAAAAATTTTATAAATTCAAGTTACCAGCTAGTGCATTCTTTGGAGCATTTTGCTGCCTAGTTTTAAAGGGATTGGATGGTCCAACCTATCCATAGACAATAGAAAAGCATAGACATATTAATGTATAAAACATAACAGTTAATTTCAATTAATTATTATACAGTGAAACAATCCACCCTGAGATTATTTTGGCACATAGAAAAATACTTGGCAACTACATGAAAAATTGCAGTAAAAGTCGTTGATATATAAGTTGTGTTCTCAGTTGCAATGCAAGCTAGAACGTTTTTTCTTTGAGCACCCAAGGTCTAGAATTAACTCGAGATGATACTTGCATAAAATACTCAATCCTTTCTTTAAAAAGTGTTTTTCTCTATGGTTCAGTGTCCTACATGTGTCACAAAGTGTTTTTCTTTTTCTTCCATATCATTAATTTTATTTCAAGCGACATTCTACGATTTTTGAGTCCCCAGATGGCGACATGAAAAAGACTAAGGCTGAAAGCCCTGTAGATAGATATTTTCCGAGATAAAACTGAGTAGTGCACCATGCACTTCATTTTCACCTCCGGGGAGTACATCTCTTCATATCGCGGGTTGTAAGTGACTTGCTTGGTGTTGGGATCGACTTGTCTAATCACACCGACAGCCTCCTGAGGTATGAAAATAAATCATTTGTTAAGCCTGCTTTTAATTCATGGAATTTTTTGGCATCTTGAGAACTGGAAGAATTCACAAAACGGGACCCATGTGTCCTTAAACTCCGTACACCAACCTTTGCAGTGACAACAGGAGCACTTTTAACCTGAACTTTGGATTGAAGTTGTGAAATTGAGACATTAGAATTTAGATGTGCCGTATGATCTGCTGTAGTTTCCTCTTCAGGACTTTCATTTCCTTCAGAATCGCTATCATCACCATAGGCATTTACAAGAGCTTCCATTGCCGCCATGTTGTTTCGAAGTTGGCCAGGTTACAAAGTAAGCATGAAGTTTAGTCTTGGTTACCTCGTCATGTAAAGTACCCCGTAATGTTCCAACATATGATACCTCGACGGGAAAAACAAAAAACAAAAACCGAAAAAAAACCAAAACAAAGCAAAAAACCCTGTTTTCAGTCTTGGTAAAGCCTATAGCTTCACATTTTTGTTGTGTATTTTTCCTCATGGTAAAAATTTTCGTTCTGTGTATCAGCAGAGCCGCGAACATTACAAGTCCTTGTTATGTGAAGGTGTAGTCTGATCGTCCGGGTGAGTGTAGTCCTGAGAAGGACTGTTGTCGGTGGTAGTGACTGACGTTTCGATAACCTGTGCGGAAGTCATCATCAGAGTCAAGTGAATGATTGTTGTCAGTAGAATGTTCTTATTCCAGTTCGTGTGAAATGATCGGTT